CATCATCACCATCATCATCACCATCATCATCACCATCATCATCCTCAACAGCAGTAGCATTCAGTTCAACGGGTTTCAAGTAAGGGATACACACAGTACCTTGTGCTTCCCCAGTTCAAATGCCATCATTTTAGTAAGCATATCCAATGCCGCTTTTGATGAACCTATCATACAATAACACACTTTTACAACAACAGAGCATAATCTAACGATCTGATTGACAGCTATAATCAATAAGAGGACAGACACATAGAATAATGAATTGCTCATGAATGGAACCAGAGGACGCTTGAAACTGTTTTTCTTTTTCAACCTTTTCCCTATTTTCAGTAGATGTTTTTTTGATTTTGTTATTGTAAAAAACAAATTGCTCATAGATTTCCATTGACTGTCGTCTTATTGATCATAGATGATGTCTTAAAATGTTCAAAGCTTTACAGTGAAACCACTCACTGAGCTCGTGATTCCACTTCAGTATTGAACTTTTGAGATTTCATCTTTGAACAATAAAAAGACAGTTAATGGAAATCTATGAGCAATTTGTAAAATTGAACATGACTGTGTAAAATGAAACGAAAGGCTTGACAAATCAACGTTACACTACACTGCAAACCACAATCTAAATATAAACAATATTTCTTACTTACAGTATAAAGTGTGATCTTGAAGAGCCGATTGGGATGCCTGGCTTGAAACATTGACAATTGCGCCACCACTGCCTTTTGCAACCATCTTCTTAGCTACAGCCTGAGAAACATTAAAGAAAAAAAACAAAATATTATGAGACACCCCAGAGGTGAGAGATGAGGGCAACACCCTTGATTCCCTAAATCATGACCATTTCATCATATATTTTGACTGCTTCTGCATTCAATTATTTTGGTTGGATGGTTTCCTCTCTAATAGGGTCAAACCCTTTTTTTGGCGAAAGCTGTTTCTTGTTGTTATAGGAGGGTCATGAATTTGTTACTGAGTGAAAAGGGGGAGGGCTACAACCATTTTTTTAAAAGTTTACCCCCCCCAATAAAAAATGTTCTTTCCCTTATGGACTCAGTTATACAAGCTAATATTACCTGAGCAACAAAAAGAGCAGCTTTGACATTGATTCCAAAAAGCCTGTTACAAACAAAATAGAATAACTGTTATAAATCTAGCGTTCTGATTGGCCGGCAGTGCGTGCTTTATAAGAGCACACAGAATGCATGCACAGCATGCTTGTTATTCCCTAGATAATAATATTTTCTGTTTGAGTTGTGTCCATATTCATTTGTCTTCTTATAATAATAATAATATAATTTATTTATATAGCGCTCATCTCCAAAATTGTCCAAGGCGCTTCACAAAAAATTACAATAGAATATTTACAATAGTTACAAAATGCTTACCTATTGATTATGAATAAAATGTAAATATTTAAAAGATAAAACTAATTATTATATAATTACCAATGAAATATCTATTTTTCTCCTTTTCGAAAAATTGATATCTTCACACGTGAAAATAACATGTTATTTTCACGTGTGAAAATAACACCATTGCGATAACTATTCAAAAATACACGGAAAGAATTGCCTGAAAAAGCCAAAACATACTTCATTGATAATTATATAATAAACAGAATATTACATGGGC